ATATATATATATATATATATATATATATATATCCATTAATTATTATTCTCACTTCCAAATGCAGAAATGAACTCGACCGCAGACAATCGCTGACAGTACGGTCGATTGAGAACTTTCACGCGGCATGATTGGCGCATGCGTTTCGAAATTAAGAGTCGTTAGTTGGATAACTATCGACTGACAACATAGCCAACCATCGCATGCGTATTGCGTACAGGAAATGGGTCGGCAACGGTGCGAAGCAGCGAGACCCGCGTTTCCGGTCGATCACCAACGCCCGACGTAAATATTGTATACGCCAAAATGCGCGTGTATTGGATCTATCTACTTACGTGCGTGTGTATATCCATACCATAGAGAGGGGAAGGGGCAGGGCACGCCTTTGCGTTTCACGCGTCGATTCACGTCGCGCCTGGGCGGCCGGTTTATATCGACACTGATGTCTCAATTAGAAGCAGCTGGCATCTGCCCTTTCTCCGGAAGAGGGCCCGTCTGCTTCCCGCGCGCGAACCCGGAGTGCCCATTAAGGGAGTTCTTCCTTAACCCTATGATTTCGTTCGCCCTCCCGCGGAGCCCTGTAATTAGCGATCGAGTATCGATGTTAGTATGCGGCGCATCGAAGACGAAGGTAGAAGAAAAAAAAGTAATCCAAGGGAAGATGTATTGGACGTCCATCGTGCCGGTGCGAATGAAATGAAAAGGAAGACGCGAAGTCTCCGACCGAAGTTGCAATTAACATCGCTGCGCAGCTTGTCGATTCCGTAAAAAAGAACAATTGTGGGGTACGTTCATACTATTTTACCTTTGAATATATCGAATTTTAATTATACTCTTTTATATATTTGTACACTGAAAAAAATACTGAATTTTATTCAATATCTGTTTGAATATTACTATCGAAATATTTACTAAATGTAAATATATATATTTTTTTAAGTATAACTCTTTTACTTTGAGTAAATGTTTACTTACTGTAAGTAAATATTTCGTTGGTATTATTCAAACAAATATTTATTTAATAAAATTCAGTAAATTTTTCAGTGTATGTATGTCGTAAATTTATATGGGATATGTAAGTTTACATTCTAAATAATAAGATAAACAATCAGATCAGACATTTACACAAAACTTTTATTTGTCTATATTATTATTAATCTCAAATGCTTTTTTTCTATATAATATTATAATTTAATTGTATTCTTTAAATACAATGATAATTAAATTATAATATTAAATTATAATATTGTAATAAAAAAAGCATTTGAGGTTAATAGTAATAAATTTTTTGTAAGTTTCGCCGGCACAGATACATATCCAGTCGCTGAGACGTTCATCTTATTATTTAATGGAGGTTTTAATATAATACATAAAAATCGCGAAGGAGGAAAATGAATGTCACGGAAAAAGAGTAAACACGCGTGTGGGAACAAAAGTGTCCTCGCGAAATTTACAAGCGGATTACGTTCGAGTCGCGCGAAAGGCGAGCTTTCGCCACGACAGTAAAGAGTTTATCCGGCTCGTTTGTCTAACACGAGAGAGGCTCGCGTGTCAAGAATAATCAGCAACGATAAAACGTCAATAAAACTTCGCGGCTCTACCACCGATTAAAACGGTTATTACGTGCCCGACCGACGAAAGACTCACGATATAACGAAATACGACTGCATCGCTGCTGCTTGTATTATGCAGACTGCTGTATGCGCGATAAATATAATTATAGGATTCGCGCTCGCAGTACGGTCGTTTTAAAAATAACGCCGACTGAGAAACCCAATTATTCGTATACAGTAATAAAAAAAATTTGCACCTTTTCTGGGATAAAAATTGGAAGGACTCTCCTTAGACGCCTATTATTCTACATTTTGCGGTTGCGTTCTTATACGAAAAGAATACTCTACTCTCTAAATTCTTTGAAGTGGAATCTCACTTTAAAGAGTGAAAATTGAGCCAGTGAAAAAGAGCTGTGGCTCAGTTTTGAATCTTAAAGAATGAGATATCACTCTTCAGAGAATGAGATTCATTCTAAAAGTTTTAAACTTGTAATATGTTAAAGAGTATAGAGATCTTTAATCTGTATTTTTCTGTATATTTAGAGACTCTACAGAATCTGAGATAACAATTTATGATTGTCCGACCTTTTTCATTAAATTCGCTTTAGTCAGAGTGAGATAATATACATACACTATCTTTGAACATATTTTTTTCTCGTATCATTGCAGGGCGAGATAAAACATCTTTTCCCTTTTGCACCATTCTCTTTTACAGAGTGAGATAAAACATATCCTCATTACGATTTTAACGAAAAATGTCGGACCCCTTTTTATGACCTGACTCTAATTACCTGGAAGATTTCTAGGAAAGAAAAGAGTTTCGCTAAAGCATCTAAAAGTATCTAAAGATTTAACGGGATCTAAAAATCATTTTGTTGGATTATCAAATTAATTATGTAGAATGTCCAAACTTTTTACAGCATTGCTTGACTTTCTTACATAATTATT